CCCCAAAACCCCAAAACCCCAAAACCCCAAAACCCCAAAACCCCAAAACCCCAAAACCCCTAGTAAACCTGATGTATAGAGGAACTTATGTTAATATTATTAGAATAAAGTTACTAATTATTTGATAATTAGAGAGAAGTTGAGCAAAACCCTGTTACAGGCGAAAGACTTAAATGCTCTTTTTGCCTTTCTGAGAAGTTAGGTAGCACTTGATCTCTTCATGACGGTTCAAGAATTTATCAAGCCATCCTTTGGAAAGTCTCACTTTTTCAAGTGGCTTCTCACCTTGGTTGATGAGATCCTTCTGGAATACCCCTGCTTGGGTCTGAATCATCTTCCTAGTCAAGGTTTCTCCAGAAGATTTGATTTGGAGTGACCACTCAACAAGAACAGATTCAAGTTGTTGATTCTGAACTTTGCGGCCAGCAATAATTTTGATTCCAGCTTTATTTAGGATAGATTTGTATCTCCTATATGGGATATTGAGTTGCTCGGCAATTTTTTGCTGGCCAAACTCAATAGTTCTCTCGATTAGATCCTCTGTGATCATATCAAGATCAATTCCTTTCGTTTTTGTGAGTCATTTAAATAACTTAGATAGTTTCTCTGGGTCAATGTTTGTTGGTGTACCTCAGCTAGAATTCACCCTCTTTGCTACTTTTGCGGATGAACCCTCTACAATTGGATTCATAGTGGCAGAAGCATGCAATGTCCTTTCATTTGGGTCTTGTTTAACTACAATGGAAGGAGCATTCCTGATTTTCATAAATTCTTCATCCAGTTGACTCCTGAATGCAAATGAATTATCTTGTTCAGAATGAATCTTATCTAATCCGAAAATTAGTTTAATGTCTAATGATTTTGAATGTGGGCTAGATGTTTCCATTTCCAAAAAGCGAGGGTAATTATCAAATTCAAATTTTGGCTCACTGAAGTACTCAATTTCCTCTTCTTCCTTGAAATTTTTCTCAAAGGCTTGAGCATTGGTGAAGTAGGGAAAGTCCTTGTCTTTCTCACTCTCAAATCCGAAAGTGGCCATAGATGGCCTCTCAAAGTGCCTGAAGGCATACTCGAAGTCAGAATTTTCAATTTGAGGAAGAGTGAGGCCGACTCCTTGATTTTTGCAATCAGAAATTTCTTTCTGGGATTTTTGGTATTGCTGTTTGTTTTCCATAATTTAATTTTATTTAAAAATAGCTAAAATTTTTCTCTTATATATAATACAATGGCTAGCTAGCAGAAGCTATTTCTCCGAAATCTAGTAATACAGGGTTCCTAAAGCTTGTAAACAGTCTAATATAGAAGTAGGAGGACCATTGAAGTGATTTTACCCACAGGCTGAAATTTTGGTGCAGCTCTGATTTTCCCAAACTGGAATAAAATATGTGATTACTGGTGATATTCACTATTGCAATAGTATTTCTACCTTCCTTTTAATTAATATCTAATCAAGTTACTCCCTTCAGTCTGTACTATTAAGCATGGGGTTTTGGGGTTTTGGGGTTTTGGGGTTTTGGGG